TACACTTGCAGTTGTAAGACAAAAGTACTGGAGAGCATGCACTGTCTGCCTTGGTCCAGACCTAGATTAAAGCAAACAGGACTGCTAGGCAGACTGGGAGACCTGGGAGCTTTGGCGTTTCTGCAGCTTTTCTTTAGGGAAAATGAGTGCTCCTCCACCCTCACTTCAGGAGCCCAGCCTCTGCTTTTATACGACCCCTTCCAAGACTACACAGACAGACAGACAGACACACTCTGTAAACATACTCTCCCCTCCTAAATGCCCCAAAGGGTCAGATAGTGCGTCATTTGCACTTATGGTTGATTGCATGCATACATGTTCACTAAACACGTCTGACTAAAGTTATTACCTTCACGTCACTGGAAAAAGGAAGGAGGTCTCTCCTTATTATAACATCCAGATGTCACTTAGCTGCATGAGAGATCACCTTGGGATAGATCAGTTCCTGAAGCAGCAGTTCCCTTACTCAGCTAGTCAAACTGGGTGTTTGGGGAAATGTGAAAAGGAGGGCTGACCTCGCGGGGAGGGGCTGAGGCCACTGCAGGCCGTTCACTTGCCAGGAAGAGTGAAGAAGCCAGACTGTTCCTAGCAACTCGGCCCTTCCTGGCTGGCGCAGGTGAGCTCCCCACCACTGCGCCTTGTCTCCTTTCCCTCCCTCCAATTACACCATGTCTTGCTAGTCTCTCTCTCTCTCTTCCAAGACCCCTAGTGCTTGATTTGGTGTCCTAATGTCCTTTTTATCTGTTTAGCCTCTAGCTTTTTTGTTCTGGTACAAATTCATCCTCAGGCCTCTTCTTCTCCTTTGCCACTGCTTACGAGACTTCTGTTAAAGAAATGCTCCCCTGGACTGAAACCTCCTCAATGACCAGAGCGATAAGGCATAGCAGATGACACTCTACAGGCTGGTAACTGCCAATGCCTAGCCACAAGGCAGCTTTTTAAATGACACTCTGCGCTACACTACACAAGAGCCCCTGGCGAGCGGCTAAGTCAGGTCAGAAATTCAGCACACACTCCCTGTGCCAAGGAGTATATCCTGAGGGATTTCCAAATCTTGTCCAGATTTGTACAAAAGGTGCTCTATGGACTGGCAGGGGCTCCATCCCCCTCTTCCTCCTCACCTACCTTCCAAATTCTCATTCGGTAGGTGTGAGGTTGGGACTGGGAATATGCAAGTTAAAAGAGTTCCCAGGTGACAGTGATCTTAGCCAGGACTGGGGACTGGGCCGGGGACAGCACATGTTCCCAGACAGCTGGAATGAAGTCTTGATTAGCTGTAATGCTCAGCAAATAGGTGTTTTGGCTTACTGAAGTCAAAGCAGAAAGGAAGACATAACATCAGCCTGTTTCTGTCATTTTGGGAAAATAATTTATGAAGCATATCACTCTACTACTCTGGAAAATTAGCACACACAGAGCTAATTATATTTTACTGACATTGGAAATTTCAGAATATTCATTATGAAAAGCCAGTCTCATTTGACAGCAGTGTGTGGTGTGTGTGTGTGTGTCTGTCTGTCTGACTGTAGCAGAGTTGTAGGAGAAGCAGTCCAAGACACTGCCTATATCCTGGATAGTATTTCATTTTTCCCCATTTTCTACTGCAATCTGTCTCTTCTTGATAAAACAGGTTACTGGCTAACAATGACAATAAATTATGGTTTTAAATAACCATGCACTATAATAAAAATGCATGTCTTTTCTTTTGAAAAATAGTACATTTCTTTTGGAAATAGGATCTGCGATATCAAATGCAGCATTTGTTTTGGTTAATTTTCTTTCACAGTAGTTTATTTTGAAGACTTATTTTAAGAGTAGGTAAAATGAGACTAGCAAACATAACTGAAATAAAAATGTCTTAGTTCCTTTAACAGAAAAGGTCAGCCAGGCATTAGGCAGCAGGGTGAAGTTGGGAGGACAGGTGGACGGCCCATGTGGTAAGAAGGCCGGCTAACTTCCCTAGTGTCACAGGTTAGGGCAAGATTTCCTCAATTTGGGTGGGACAATTTCCTTATAAAGAGTGTAAGGCCCTTAGGAGCCTCACCTCTGGCTCCAAACCTACCTGATCAGCCTCTCCCCAGTGTCCTCAGCGGCTGAGCAGTAACACTGCCTTGTTGATTTGGTCGGGGGAGATCCCGGCTTCCGTGTTAGATTTCGCTAACTTAACAAAAGCCTCACTGCTACACTACACACTGCTACCTTCCCAGCAACTCCTGACAATTCACCTAGAGCAACCTCGGCATCGGGGAGGACAGGAAATAGAATTAACTTGCTTCCCTAGGCTTATGTTTATTATTTGGCCCCAAATCTGGAATCTAAATCAAGAGCAAAGGCTTCTTTACATTCAAAAAGGTCCTTACCGGCTACTTACTCAAAACAAGTTTATTGTTGAAAAATTATGAGTCTATCCAGTACTGACAATGAAATGATGCCCTGTGTAAATAATGCACAGAATCTGCTCTTTCCTTTAAAAAAAAAATAAGCCAACTCTTGATCAATTAATCATAGGGTGTTTTCTGGAACTTCAGGAACTTTCTTTTCCTCTGTGTATGTTTGCTTTTACCAAGTATGTTCCTCAAGTGTGGGAGATGGCCTTGCAACAGGCTCAGTACTGACCGGTGCTTGCAGGCCAACTGCCCACACAGAAGACCAGAGAAATGACACACTGGGGCAGCTTGGCTGGCCTAGGAGCAAGAACGACTCTCAGGCCACGAAGCAGAGATGGCTCCAGGGCAGCAAGTGAGAGAGCAGCATGAGGCAGCATAGCTTCTTCCCTTCTAGAGGAGCCGCCAGTCACAGAGCACAGAGGATTACAAGATTATGTTGTGCAACAAAGCCACTGCATTCCCACAGGAGCCTGACAGGTCTAAGGCCAGATGGGATAATTTGTCTTACCCCATGACCCAGACTATGGAATGCAACCAACACATTTTCTGGCTGGCTTCGGGCCAAGTCATCTCTCTTGCTCTTCTTACGTACACTATAGTGTGCTTTTCATAGGCTGGTTCTAAACCATCAAGCAGGTGGATACTTGAGCAGTAACTGGTGTTTTGGGGACACCTCACATTCTCTCTGTATTCATAAGACAAAAGCAGATTTGGTAGAGTGTGGTCCAAAAAAAAGGATGTGGCCCCAAACTTAGGAAAGTTCGGAATTTTCCAGAAGTTTAAAAGTGCTATTTTGCCTCACTTTGGTCATTGAGAAATCAGTACTGGTCACTTCATTTAAGAACTTCAAGAACTATAGTAAAGTCACAAAATCTTGTTTAATCCCTGGTGTGATGTATTTGAGTAATAGAGTGCCAAATGGAAACGTGGGAAAGTAGAATTTCATACTGTGAAGCCAGAATTACCTCAGTGTTTACATGTCAAGAAAGAACTTTACATGACTAGGGAGGCCTCGTGTCTGTGGGTAGCTCCTTTTGGCAGAAAGCAAGGTCCACTGCACCAGCCTTGGCCGGCTTCCCAAGGTAGCTCTCAGGCACTAGAAATCTAGCACATGACAGTTCATCTCCTGTCAGAAACCAAAGAAGCTCTCAACAAATTCTAAAACACTACTGAAGAGGTTGCTGGTAACATCCCATATTTATGGATTTGAAGACTTAATATTGTTGAGTTGGTAATATTCCCCAAATTGATCTATAGATTCAATCCTCATTAAATTTCCATCTTGCATCTTTGTAGAAATTGACATGTTGATTCTAAAATTCATATGGAAATTCAAGGAACCTGGAATAGCTAAAACAATCCAGAAAAAGAAGAACCAAGCTAAAGGACTCAGATTTCTCAATTTTAAAATTTCCTACAAAGATAGAATAGTCAAAACAGTATGGTACTGGCATAAGGATAAACATATAGACCAATGAAATGGAAGAGAGAGTCCACAAATAAACTCTCTCGCATTTATGAAAAATTGATTTTTGACGATTTTTGATAAGGGTGTCAAGACAATTCAATGACAGAAAGAATAGTCTTTAATAGTCTTTTTTCAACAATGGTGCTGGGACAACTGGATATCCACATGCAAAAGAATGATGTTGGACCCCTAACTCATACTGTATGAAAATTAACTCTAAATGGATTAAAGACCTAAATGTAAAAGATAAAACTATAAAATTTTTAGAAGAAAATGCAGACATAAATCTTGTGATCTTGGATTAGGCAATGTGTTTTTAGACATTTTTTTTTCTAGCCAGAGTCTGGCTCTATCACCTAGACTAGAGTGCATCAGCCTATCTCACAGCAACCTTAAACTCCTGGGCTCAAGCGATCCTCCTGCCTCAGCCTCCCGAGTAGCTGGTACTACAGGCACATGCTACCACACCTGACTACTTTTTCTATTTTTAGTAGAGATGAGGTTTTGCTCTTGCTCAGTGCTCAGGCTGGTCTCAAACTCCTTACCTCAAGCGATCCTCCTGCCTCAGTCTCCCAGAGTGCTAGGATTACAGGTGTCAGCCACTGGGCCTGGCCAATGCTTTTTTTTTTTTTTTATTTAAGACCAAAACACAGGCAAAGTAATGTTTAAAAAGATACACTAGACTTCATCAAGATAAAAACTTTTCTACTTCAAAGGACACCATTAAGAATGTGAAAATATAAAGAATGGGAGAAAATATTTCCAAATCATATACCTGATAAGTGACATATCTAAAATATATTAAGAACTGTTAAACTCAATAATGAAAAAGTGATCCAAGTAAAAATGAGAAAAGAATCTGAATAGACAAAGAAGATAAATAAAATGGCCAATAAACACATAGAAAGGTCCTCAGCGTCACTAACCGTCATGGAAACGCAAAGCAAAGCAACACTCCAATGAGATACCATTTCACACCTACTAGGATGTTACAATCAAAAAGTCAGATAATAACTAGTTCTGGTGAGACTATGGAAAAACTGGAACCCTCATACATGCGGGTGAGAATGTAAAGTGGTTCTGGAAGAAGAACGACGCTTTTGCTTGGCGGTTTCCCCTTCCAAGTATTGGCCCTTGGCTCTCACCTGACCATCCGGGGAGGCAGCGGCAGTGGCCCGTGGTGGGGTGGCAGCCATCCGCGTGGCTGCAGTCGCACCGCTCGGCGCAGTTCAGCCCATACGTGCCATCCTGCAGGGAAGACAGCATCAAAGACTGCAATGAAGGCCTGGGAATCCCATGATGGGAGACAAAAGGGCCATGGTCACCCACTGCAGATACAGTGTCTGCTCTCCCAAACACCTCTGGGAAACACACATCATAATCACCTCTTCCCATGTCTTCTTAGTCCCCAAAATGTAGGCTCCAAGAGGTCAGAGTTTTACAATTGCTAAAACCCTCGTTTAAGCCTGACATAATGGTTGAGACATATGAATGGTGAAGCCAATTATGCCAATATGCTGTTATGCCTGTATGCAAATATATAGATATGCCAGTTAATTAAAATATGCCTATCGTATTATAAGCCACAACTCATAAAAATACTTTCTTTTGTTCCTAAAGATTTTTATAAAATAGTTCAATGTTTCCTACAATGCATTGCATTGTTTAGTAGAAAGAAAGGAAAATTAAAAAAAAAATGATAGTTCTAATTGAATTAAGTTTGCTCCCATAAATTGGTAAGGGATACATTTTTGTTACTATAAAGTAAAATGAAAACTTTTTATTACTAATAAAACAATCCCTAATTATTATATTTCTTTCCATGAAGAAGTCTAAGCCACATAAAGTGTCTGGTTCAAGATCCTAAGTACGAGTTGATACACCTCCTGGCTCTCCCCCTTCTGCTCTTGGAGTTTTCACAGGCACAGCGGTCTGGGTGGCCCAGTGGAGTTTACAGAGGGGCTGTGATCATTTTGTTTGTGAGAGGAGAATGGGAAGCTCTGCATTTATGAGCCCTGCTCCTTCAGTCTGGATCCTGAGAACTGAGAGAGGGAACTACAAACCTCCCTGCACCAGCCAAGCACTAAGAAAAACAGGGGTGCCCAAGAGGAAGGAACATGGGAACCAGCACAAATAGGGAGTGGGTACTAAATGGAATAACTACTTGCCTAGAACTTGTTAAAATTAAAAAAAAATTAACTCTGTTTTAGGCCCCAGGAATGTTTGCTAGAACCACATAGGATTTAGCTTTGTCACAATAGGAACCACTAAACCATCAGCCTTCCCTGGTTTACTAACTCCTTTAGGGTATGAAAAAAGGACAAGACTATGCCAAGGGCTTTTCTTTGTCTACAGTCAGATGGGGAGTGAAAGGTGATCTCCACACCCATCTCCTGATACTGATAATGTGTTCACTGTCTGGTGAGAAGCAGCAAGCTAACTTAACTCTGTCCTAGGGTGTAGGAGGGCAGGGGGTGGCCAGAGCAGGCTTCTCTCTACTTCTGGAAATGGGTCATACTTAGTGAGGAGGAAGCCCAGAAAGAGAAGAGCCTCCCTGGAAGGCCCTTTCGAGGGGCTCAGTTTAGGGGGTCATGTTGTTATCTGGCCATCAGATGAGTCCTGGAGGCAGGGAACACACACCACTGAGAATCGCCTAGTGGCTCAGGGGAAAAAAACTGCAATAGGAAGAAAGAGTGACAGGAAAGACATCAGCAGGTTACCAGAGAATGCACTTCCTGTTCGCACCTCTGCCAGCCTGCAGCGGATAATATCAGATTTCTAATGATACATCTCTCCAAAGTAGGTCAAGGAAAGGGGGCGAGCACAGGGAAATCTTCAGAGTCGTGAGGCTCCAGAGATATTTACATTAAAAGATGCTATTTACAAACCATCCACTTGGATGAGCATTTCTGTGACATCGAGCACCACTCCCCTTTCAAGTCCCTGCCATTTTCCACTCCAAAGGCGGAGGGGAGGGCATTTCCATTATAACAGACACAAAATATTTGGAGAGTTGACAGGCAGACACGGGGTGTTTGACCACTGCTGCTGACCAGCTGCACCAGAGATGGGTGTGTAAGCAACAGACAATAAAGGGAGGGGAGGAGGACACGGGTGAAATGAAGGAGGAGAAAGGAGGCATTCTCACAAAGCCCACCTCACCGATTTCCACATCTATCCCTTCTCTAATCCTGTGTCCAGCATGAATCCAAACACCTCGGTTCTGCTAACAGTTACTGAAGTTTGGCTCACAATGAGCCACTTTAAACCAGGAAAACTGCGAAAAGCAGCCAACCCTCCAGAGCGGCTCCTCCTGGGCGTACCTGGCAGGGAAGCTCGCATTTCTCCCCGCGCCATCCAGGTGCACATGTGCAGCTCCCGTCCAGGGTGTTGCAGGCTCCCCCGTTGAGGCACTGGCACGTTAAATTACAGCCAAAGCCCCACGTGCCGCTGGGGCACCTGATGGAGCAGTCCACCCCGTGCCAGCCTGCATGACAAGAATGCCAGAGCGTGTGAGGAGCAGAGGCAGCAGGGAGCTCCGCCGAGCCCTTCCAAGCCAGGTTTCTCCGCAGAAACACCTGGGAGATGCACAGCAGAGCCCCCGCCCCAGCCCCAGCAGTGGAGAGCACTGGCTCTGCCAAGTCAGCTCCCATCAGAAATGAGCACAAGGCACCCTGGAGGACCCCAACAGCCACACGGGCTATGTGATCTGTCGGGGACGCCAACGCTACGGAGTGGGGGCACCTCTCACGTGCAGCCATGCACACTGGAATGCTGAGGTTTGTTCAGATTGGGACAGTGGATATCTATATGGAAGGGAGAGGAAGGTTTGTGCTTGAAAACACAACCCCGTCTTTAAAGTGGGACTTCATTAACCATGCACAGTGCGTATCCAGGATCCTGGCTGCACCTATGGAAGGACATGTTCTGGTTTTCACATAAAACTGGTGCTTGGCTGCATTTCTTGTTATGACTCCAGGCTGGCCAATTTAGGAGGGTGGACACACGTCTGCTTGTGTACTCTTCCCCAAAGCGCAGAGGCTCACGGACTTTTGGAGCTGGCAGTGACTTCAGAGATCATCTGATGTGAGCCTCTTCCTATCACAGCCCACACTGGATGAGGGGCTTCCTTAGGTCCGGCACCGAATTTTGGTGCACCTGGAGCTAGAACTCTGGTCAAGATTTCTTTCCTATGACTTTAGGAGAAAATGTGACCAGGATCAAATAAAAGACTTATTTACCCAGTCTTACCTGCCTTGCAAGTACAAGACCCCTCCACAGGAGAGCAGACAGCATCGTTTTTACAGCCACAGTGAGAGGAACAGTTTATCCCGTAGGTGCCCAGAGGGCATGGGGTGGAGCAGTCAATTCCCTAGACAGGCACAAGCAGCAAAATGCATGCAATTTTGCCAATCGAAATAAGGCCAACACACATAAACAAAAATATATCTTGGCAATGCTAATTATACTTCCTCACTAATTTTAACACACTGTATTTTTTTAAAAGTTGCTATAATGTCACCACTACACAAATCTTAGAGATTTAAGGGCAATACTAGCTGGCCTAAGTTTAGGATATAATATTAAATGGGACCCAAAATAGCCTGCTGTCTTCATCAGTTTTGCCTTCATAGCTGCAAAAAAAAAAAAAAAAGAAAAGAAAAGAAAAACCAAGAAAACCTTTTACTCTTGTTCAGACAAGTAGACATATAAAAATAAATTGTAGCCATAAAATTATTGTCAGTAAATAAATAAACATAAATATGAACTATATATTAGAGTCCAAAAGTTCCTAGACTTCCTTGTATAAAATGTGTTATCATTAGTGGGTGAAGCCAAGCAACAGAACACATTTGGCCTGCAGCATGATTCAATTTATCCAACAGGGAGCATTAAACATAGAATTGGGCTACCAAAGGTGATTGGAGGTCACCTCTTTTCAAAACAGAAGGAACTCTTAAGCCAAGGCTAATGCAAGGGCTCAACCAAAGACTGTGACACAGGCTAGAAAACCCTACAGAGATCCTCTCAGCTCAGCAACTTCACAGCCCACCAGTTCTACATCATGTGCTCTGTAATAATCATCAACATTCTTCATACTTCAATGTTTCCTCTTTAAAATGGGAGACAATAATTGAAGAACCACACATTTTCCTTTAAAACAAAAATTACTGATCTATAGCTAAGAAATCCTAGAAACTGTAGGCAAAATTCTGCTCCCTAGGAATGCAGGCATATGTGTAGAGTCTAGATGTTCAAAGGAACCTTAAAAACTAACATGCAACTAAGTACAGAATGTAAATACATAAGTACTAATTTGACATATGATGTGTCTTTAAATTTCATAGAAAAACAAAAACTGTTGACAATAATATATAACCTACTTGAAAAAGTAACTTCTTTGCTGCCTATAAAACACAGTAAAATAATTACCAAAAGAATAATTATGATTTATCTTACTTCTTGACATATATTTATATTAAAAATTAATGTCACATTTATAGTTTTCCCAGCTTTCCTAGCCATCATTCTAAGGTAATTCCTTATATCTCTATTAGTACTTTTCATTCTCTTTCTCTTTAATGATGTGAATGATCCCAGCACATTCATTATACTTCACCAAAGGCCATAGAAGTCATGCTATTGATATGCTCCACCCTTGCACCCCTCTTCTCCCTCCTCCACGGCCCAAGTCACTCACTTTGAATCCTGGGGCACAGGTGCACTTTCCAGTCGCACTGTCACAGTCGGCCCCATTGTGGCAGCTGCAGATCTGCTGGCAAGCTTCCCCGTAGAATCCAGGAGAGCACGTCTCATTACAGTAGAGTCCCGACCAGCCCGGCTTGCAGGCACACTCTCCAGACATGGGGTGACAGCTGAAAGACGTGGATGGAAAGAACAAGTCACTCTGGGATAGACATGACACCCAAGGCCGTGCAAATGTAGCTTTAGCCATGACACTGTGTGGGTAATTTTAAGCACAATAACTTAAACTTCATTGCCAGGCTTAGTATGATTTCATTAATTGGCTGAAGCCTGACTGGTAGCAGGTACTACAGATCTATTGTATGAAATCAGCATCATCTCTAGCAGGATTGAGTATTACAACCACAACCTTTTGTCTGAAATTCTTTTTAATCTTCTTAAATCAAAAGCACTAATTCAGTAGAAGGTCAACTCTAGGAGGAGAGCTAAAAATCTCCAACCAGTGAACAATACCAAGTCAGTTAACCAGGGCGATGTCCAAGGAACTCCAAAAGCAGCGACCTCAGCAGCCTGTTTCTCCTCTCAGCTCCGTTACCTGGTAGCAGGCAGCTGTCTCTACCTGAGACAGCAGCCGCGCTGGCGGGCTATGTAGCCAGCTGCCTCGCGTGGCAGATGGACACATCAGCTGTGCTGAGACGCATGTGTGAGAGAGCTGACACAATAGGGTGCTCTGTGGCACACTGGCTCAAAACACATGTGCTTTTCACCATAGGAAAATCTTAACAAACAAACTAGCTGTGCTGACAACTGGAAGACTGTTTAAAGATGGTCTTCCTCTCCTGCTGGAGCTAAAACCCTCCTCTTAACTAGGACCAACAACAAAATCCACTCTGGCATTCAGACATTCGCTAAATAATGTGTTCTCATCATAAGAGTGTTCGCAGATTGTCTACCCTTGGAAATAAGAATGAGCTGGGAAGTATGAAGACTGAGGATGTAATTCTAGTTCCCCCAACACCTGAATAATCTCAGTGAAAGCCTGAGGTCCCAGTCTGGCAAGTGAGAATCTCAGCCACTTCCCATAACCTCATATCATATCTTCCTCTTCCTTCTCCTCCATCAGAAAAAGCCTGAGGGTTAGATGGTTTGGTCCTCATTTTCAGAAATTTATTTAAATATACTTTTAGATCCCTGATGCAACTAAGTGCCCATAAGCAACAGCCTAGGAATCCATAACATGTTCAGGAAACACAGCACCAAGAGATATCCAAGTACAATTCTGCGCCGGACATGGTTTCCTGGGCACAGAAGGCGTAGATCCAGAAGACAAGGGTTTGAGTCTCAGGTCTACTTAGGTGTGTTCAAGTCTGGTTGTAGGCCATCATATTGACCAAATCACTTATCCTTGAGCAAACGCCTGGCATCTCCAAGGTGTCTCCAACCTAACGTCAAAAACTGCGCCCTTGTTCTTCTCTCAGTGTCTCTATCACCCAATGGTCCGTATTTCTGTAAACAGCACCACCCGTGACTCAGTTTACCTAGGAGTTGTTCTTGATAACTCCTTCTGCCTCATCTCCATATCCAATTCACCACTAACACTTAACCATTGTAACTTCGAAATGTGCTTTGACTCTGCCCACATCTCTTCACTGCCACCACCTCCTGCAGCCGACACCCTCTCGCCTCAGCTCCTCCATGGCCTCCCAGCTTTGCTGCCTGCGTCACCCTCGCCACGTCACACGGAGTGAATCGTATCGCATCATTTTCTTCCCTAACGCTCTTCAAAGGCCCCCCACTACACATGGAATAAAATCCATACTGTTTAAAACAGATAAAGTGACTACAATTTATTGTCTAAACCAGGACATTTTTAAGAGTGAAGAGAGAGTCACTTATAATTACACTAGGATAACAGGCCTACAACAGACTGTCCTTGTGAAACGGGATATATGATCACCCTAAATATAGCCCATGGGACCTTGTCATTTGGCCACTGCCTACTTCTCAACCTCTTGTTTTGTCATTATTCTCTCTTTACTACTATGCTAGACCACACTGGATTTCTTTGAGTTTGTAAAAGCATTGAGTTTTTTCAACCATGTTCCTTGAATGCCATTTCCCTACTCTTTGCCTGTCTGTCTCCAGCTTGTCCTTCCAGTTCTCAGCTTAAGTATCTCTTCCTCAGCGAGGCCTGCCCTGACCGCCCAGATTTAAGCTGGGTCTCTCCCATGCTCTTTCCCAGTGCCCTTTTCTTTCTCCTCATCTCACTTATCACAGTCAATAATCCTATGTTTATTTTTACAGTCTTTAACATCTTCCTTCCCTCTAGACTGTGAGCTCTGTGAGGGCAGGAATGCAGTGTGTGTCGTCCCTGGGGCACAACAGGCCCATGGTGAGTGAATAGTGAAAACGTCACAACTGACGCGCAGTAGGTCTGACTCTAGGGAGCCAGCTTTCCCACACCAATCCGCTTCTCCCTGACATCTCAGAGGCATCGCGACATGTTGCATTGCATTCAGTATATCTGTATGCAAAGGCAGGATTTCCTCTCAAACTAGTTTCAAAAGTGTTAAAATCTTGGCTTAAGGGGAATAGCTATTAATTGCAGGGAACACTGCAATGTTTGTGATGATGTTGTGAGTGCACAGACTAGAAGTAATTTACTGAGCAGTGACGAGGTGCCAGCACCATGCTAAATGCTCCATGTGCACTACTCAATTCCATCCTAAATGGCAGGTACGATCCCATTTTATCAAGGAGGAAACAGAGGCCTACAAAGAGTAAGTGATTTACTCTCAAAGTCTCACGCAGGTAGTGGCAGAATCGAACTTGAACCCAGGGTGGTTTGTTCTTGCACCAAAGAAAAAGGAGGGTTAACAGCAGCCTGTTGTGAGCGGGGGCTAGATATGAAAGGGAATTGCCAAAATCTATGATTTAGCACATTCACGGCGTCAACAGGATCAGTAAATACCTGCATTGTGCAGAAAACATAGACAAATTTAAATGTACTTCAGTAAGGCTCTATATTTGAGAAAAGGAAAAGCAATTTTCTAAGTGATGGATTGGTTAAAATAGTTCACCTTATCTTAACATACTGGAAAAGAAAGAACATATTTGGTAGAAAATATTACTTTCCATTAAAAACTAGAAAATAATATTCATGGTGTAGACATAAAATGTTAAATGAAACAGATGATTTGAAACAGTGAATTGAACTATATGAGAGGCAGACGGAGAAATTGATATTCAAAGCCCCCCAGTGAGTGTTAGTGCAGCGCACTGGTTCTCAGATTGATTGACACCAAAATTACTATTCGGCAATTTGTAATTAGATGTAGGAAGCCAGAGCACTCTGGAAGCATTTGATGGGTTCTCATGCAGGCAGCTTAATTGGCAATGAGATTTATGTATTGATGTAGGAGCAGCAGATTGGTGGTTTAAGGGTAGATATACTCATTACCTGTTTTCTGTCTAAAGAACAGATTGCTTTGTGTGCATGCAAATGGGACTATACACATATGGGAATATTTGTCATTTTATACACACATATAACTAGCTATACATATTCTAGCAAATTTTTCAATTTAATAGTTAAATCATAGCAAGAGACCAATACTATATAATATTGGCTAAAGCAGACTGATTCATTGAACTTTCTTTTATTCATTTCCTTATAAGTTATTAATGCTCAAATTTAATGATAATTAGGTGACATTTGCAAATAAACACATCCTGATTGTCCACAGCTGTTAAATGTCCTTATTAACAAGAGCTAATATATATATCCCATGTGGAATCTTATTAAATCTCAAATTTTATCCTCTTGTCCAAAATCATTTCCACCATAAAAGTTAGTTTTTAGTTGAAAGGTCCAGGTCACAGTGAACGTCGTTAGGTTCAATAATAGTACTGAAATGTAAAATACTAATTTTACTATAAATACATTTAAATACATTTCAATCCTATGATATATTGCAAAATAAAAATGGCTACAAATTCTTTGCTACACTTCCATCAAGAGGTGGAGTATACTGAATCTGGACTTGGTTTGGTAACTTGCTTTGTCTAAAGGGACATCAGCAAACACGACACAACCAAAGGCTTGAAAAATGTTTTCCTGTTGGGGCTTGCCCTGTCTCTTGCTGCTTTTAGAATCCAGTCAACACGTGAAGAAGCCTAGGCTTGCCTGCTAGATGCTGGAGACATGTGGCACAGTCACCCCCATCATCCAGCCAAATGCCAGACACATGAGTAAAGATATCCAGGGCCACTTAGCCACTAGTTCAGGGGTCCTCAAACTTTTTAAACAGGGGGCCAGTTCACTGTCCCTCAGACCATTGGAGGGAGAGTGTGGCGCACATTCCAAACATGTGCACTGTGGGCCCTAGATGAGTTGGCTGCTAAGCAGGACAGGCAGCAGCAGCAAAAACATGTGGCAGGCTCGATAAATGTCGTCGGCGGGCTGCATGTGGCCAGTGGGCCATAGTTTGAGGACCCCTGCTAGTTGATCTGCCAGCTGAACACAGAAGGATTAGCAGAAGAACCACCAAGCTGAGCCCAGCCCACATAACCAAGCAAAAAATCATCAGGTAATAAAAAACTATTGTTTTATGCCACTTAAGTTTGGGGAGTTTTTCTTTTTTTAATGTGGCAAAAGCTATCTGATACAAATCCCTACTCAAATATGTGGTTGCAATATATGTCAATATGTATATCCACAGAACTCAAAATCTACCTAAAGACAATGTACACTATTAATCTACATTGCATTAGATATGCTGTTAATTATAATGAAAGGATTTAAGATAAACATATATCACGAATTGTATAACAGCAAAGCTCTACTTGCTTGATTAAATGATAAAATTAACAAAATAGATTTTTAATTAATACAAAGATTCTATGCCTTTTGGTTTGAAGGGACCTTGTGTTTCCAGGAATTTTACATGGTAGTTCAAGATATAAGAATTAGATGGTTGGCTTCAACTGTGAATTCAACAAGATAGAGTCATATAATCTACATTCAATTGGTTTTAATAGAAATTTATAAAAGCTAATCTTTAAAAATAGCTTTTATGATTTAGGGAAGCAATAGGCTAATTGTTTTTTAATTTTCTGATTATTTGATATACATCATTAGACAGATATTAGTGTTATTTTGATTTATGCTATTGTCAATCTCGTGTACTTCTTTGTTAAAACATACATGCTTAGGTACATGTGACCTATGTAAAATTATGGCACTATTGGCCTCAATAACTCTTCACTCATACCTTGCCACTACTAATGGTGTACCCAATTCCAACAAAACCAACATTCTCTCTGCTTCTCCAATTCTTCTCTTAACAGAGCTCTTCCTTTGTATAGGTTTATTATTCTATTTGATTTCACCTGTGTCTACATACAACAAAATAGCACACTGGTATAATGTTCGTAGCCATTACTACATGAGGCTTACTTTTTGTTGCAACAAGTCTTACACTGCAGGAAAGGGAGCCAAACTCATGACTGGTCCCTAATCCTGCCAGCTCTCTAAATATTGGAGAGTTGAAAAACAAACAAAACCCTACAGAGATTATTCATTTTTGCTCCCCAAATGTTTACCTAAATTTGTCATGTAAAGAATGGCAATATTTTCCAGTGGAAAAAACAAAAGTTGACTAAAGTGGCTTACAAAATTACTTGAATAATAATTGAGAATACAATTCTTTGATATGCCCCACTAAAATGTATTCCAGCACGCACACACACACACACACACACACACCCTGCAAAGTCTATTTTTCTGTTCCTAACAATGGTTTAAAGAAGAGACCAACCACCTTCTGTTTACTTTTAACTTTTGTGCATTTGGGATTTGATGAGGCCACAAGTTATCTTTCAGAAGTATAAATGAAGTAACAGCTGTACTGAATGCAAATAAAAGTTATTTTAGTAACAGCTGAACTGCTATATAACATACTACATTTTTGTCAAACTCAGCTTTTCCAGCAGTCTGCAAACGAGCCCAGAATTCTAAGTTGTGTGTATCTGGTCCTTGGGGGAGGGAAAAGAAGACTGGAGTCCAGAAGATATTGTCAGGGGCAGACAAGGTACAGTGGGGTGGGTGGGATCATGGTTTCCTGTTCTCAAATTCTTCCAGAGATTTTTGAGCTAAAAGACCCCTGCGAGTTCTATGTCAGAGTAATCAATTCTGAAAAGATATTTCACATGTGACAGCCACATGTGAAGCACTTTCACAAAACTTCCATTGGTACATTGCCTCTCTGTAGTCTTTTTTTCTTCCAAAGATGTGCTGTCAAGTAAAAGATATTGCAGTGACAATAATTTTATGATATTTTTACATAACTTGGCTTAATCCCTTGTTTCTCATTGCACCTTTGCTTCTAGGGGAACACCACAGAATCCCTCACTTAAGGAAAAGTTCTACTAACCTCAGCAAATTTAATTTTTATCAGTGGCTATCAATATAGAATTTAATATCCACCAATGACCATCTAACAATTTCAGCACTTCTGATGTGGGCCACCACTCGCCAAGTGAAAAGGCCTCCCTTTTACGTGGTGATCTCTGCCCAGGACAGCCCAGGCACAGGAGGGGACCTGGGGTGAGAAACTCTCTGTCAACCCCCCCTTCCAAATCCTGGACACGGAGGTCAGAATCTTCCAAGGGCAGTGACACTCACCTATGAGTGTTGTCCAGGTGGCAGGGGCACCGCTTGTCACACCTGATGCCGTAGAGCCCCTCTGGACACAGGCGCGCCTCGCAGCGCTCGCCAGCAAAGCCAGCTTCGCAGAGGCACGCGCCACTCACGTGGGAACACTTCCCCCCATTGACACACTGGCAGGGTTGGGCACAACGCACTCCGTAGGTCCCAACTGGACACTCTTCCTGGCACCTATCAAGCAACGGGCAAAAACAAGACAGATTAAACAACCCATTCATAGTGGCTTTGTTACGCATAAATTGAAGCTGCTTTTTGTTCTTGATACTATTTGGTGCTTGTCCTGTTACAGAGATGAAAAGCATTAAGAGAAATTAGTATGGCAACATATAGCAATGACATTAGTGTGACTTGTATAAAGAAGTGACAAAAACAAAACACAAACAAAATAAAATTATGAGCTTAGGACATGAAGCCTGTTTACACCAATGCTTGCCAAGGCATATGTAGCACTTTAGCAGGTACCAAGAATAAAAGAAAAGAAATTACCCAAACGTTAGTCTCAGTCCATAATTAGGAAATTTAAAAATAGGCTTTCCCCATTCCAAAGAAAAAACTCTGTGGCCAATTTGAAACTAAACTTCAATTCTCTTGGCTTTCATGTAGACATCAATTTTAATCTCAGTCATGTTTCTGCTTTTTTCAAAGCTGAGTGGTAATCACTGCTCCTCATTTAGAAAGTTATGTAACTAATAAGCAAGTCCTCTTTAGACTGGGGGAATTCTGACCTACTGAAATCAGGCGTCCTCGATTCCAACCTGGGCAGTGACTGCTGGTAGTGGGTTGTAGGAAGCCTTGAGTTTTCTAACACAAAATTGTTGGCAAGTAGGGTATTGTCCTCCATTGGGAAGTAGGGCTGCCAAACTGCAAGACGATATCCACCCTCAAAAATTCACTTCATTGTCTTTTAAAGAATGAGTTCGGAGCTCTGTCCCAGAGGAAGGATGCGCTCTAAGTAAGGTGAATGAGATGGGAAGCTGAGTTGCTGGAGGGAATTGTGATGGAAAAGAGGATATGATCTCTTATTGCGCCATGGAAAGCACGAATAGCTCTTAGGCTAGCCAAGTTTCCTTTTGGCTAGGCCAGGTGACGGGGCTCTCTGCAGCAGCAGGAGAGCTTTCTGCCAAGGGAGAGGGAGACAGGGCTTTGTCTCGCAGAGTGCTCACAACCAGGAGGGTACACTTTGTCTCAGCAGCCACTTCCCACGTGGCTCTCAAGTCATGCCAGACCCAGAGACAAAAATGTAGGTCGGCCTTGCATTTTTCAGATCTGTACAATGTGAGCAGCAAGCCATAGTAGCAAATTTAAAAACACTTAAAAGAAATAGCAGAGAAACATACTTAAAAGTCATAACCTTTCTGCAAGGCTTTGCATATTTTTAATGATAGAGTGCAATGACTAACACTCTCAGGGTGAGCAGGCTTCTATTTCAACGTAGAAGAAAAATCCTGAGAATCCTTTGATATTCTTCTGATTAACTCTAGCTCTAGCATATATTTAATATGATGGAGACAAGGAAAAGGGCCTTATGTAAGGCTAATTTCAGAGTCTAGCCATTTCCAGGTGTATTTGGCAATTAGGCAAAGTCTTCAACTGATCAACAAATTATTAGACAAGTTCTCAAGTAACTGAACTCATATTTACCATCCAATCAAATATGTATACTCATGTACACATGAGTATACCTATTTTTAGACCAGAAAGTATTTTTAAAAGGTACTATTTATTTTCAATCTATAAAAAGCTTTAATAACCCAAGTCATTTAGTTTATTCCTTAAAGATGTACATTTTAAAGGGAAAATACTGAGGTACAATAATTTGGCCTTATGGTTCCTGCTGAAGGCAGGCAAAACAACTTTGCAACTTCTGTTTGGATTTTCTTGCAAGTCAGCACCAAAAGGACAAAGATAAACGTAAAATAATATCACGTTCTCTCTCCTACAAGGATCTGAAAACAAACCCAAATGTTAAGCCTTGTACTATTTTCATGACTTTAATTTAGTAAAAAACCCAGCTCTAAAAGTGAGTGAAAATGGTATAGATTGGAAGCCTGGGAAAGTAGCTGATACCAAATTACAGAGAACCAGTATTGTATCGTAACTTGGCAGAGACTTCCTTTTCTCAGGGAAAACAAAATCCATAATAGCTGGTCCTGACCCATATTTACCTTTCTAACCTATAATTAAATATACTACTAGTTTTTATTATAAATACAAAACAAAAAGTCATTTGAATTTTACTAACTAAAGCAGCCATTATATAAGATGGGTTCATATTCCTGCTTTTTTTTTTTGTCAATGTTGCACTTGTAAGAGAATCCTGTTAATAATAGCTATGTCTATTTCCATCCACCAAAACAAAATGGTAAGATATCTTTCTAGAAGTATACATTTTCCATCTTGAAAATAAACATAACCTGAAGTAGCTTATGCCTTTCTGATTGGATGCAGTAAATGTCTTCGTCAAGCAGTATTAGCTCCCTTTTTGGTTCCTTTATCTTCAAGAAGCACCGTGTCCCAACAAATGTTATGCCCTTCATGTTTCTCTTGCGGCCCCCACTGGAACCAAAACAGCTATCTCAGGAGTCAGAAAAAGAGGAAAAGCGTTCTTAGGAAGGATTGCAAAAGCATGATAAACAGACAGAAATAAATATTGGCCATAATAGATATATGGAAATTCTGAACAAATAACAAAAATAACAAATTTTTGTTATTTTGAATAATGCCCTGGAACTGGGAAAAATGGACAGGCATTAAATAGAGATAAACTAATAAAACGCAACACCAATTGCCAAACCAATGAGGTTCACAGACTTGTTTTGCGATTATTACGTTATACCTGAAGTGAACTTAAGGAAAGGGAGGTGAGTTAGCATGTAGGGGGTGGCAGCTCCCTCCTTCACTCTTGTCCTTTTGAGCATGTCCCTCCCTAGGGTAACTGGAATCGTTGGCCAAACCATGATTTAGTGTGAAAGAATCTCATTCCTCATCAAACCTTGGATCTATGAATCAGCTGCTTACCTTCCTAACATCTGGAACTGCTGCTCTGGGGGAAACTTAAAAAGTGCTTGATGAAAGAGCTAACTTTTCCATGGTTGTAGATATTGAAAAGAGTTCCTGCACTGAAGACTGACGCTGCATTCCTGCAATTCCTGTCTATAATTCTTAACTTCATCTCATTTCAACCACATCTATCTTTACTTCCAGGGTAAAATGGAACACAGGCGTGGCAGGACTGTCTGTGGGGCTTCACCTTCACAGAATCCAACACTGAGTCATGGATCCCTTCATGCAGCTAACACTTACTGAGCACCAATTAAGCACATGGCCCCAAGCTGGAACGTCAAAAGCCCCAGAGCCATTCTAAGACAATGCTATTGGTGTTAGAAACACTCTTTTCTTTTAACACCGTCAGAAGAATTTTTGTGAGGACCTGGAAATCATCCTCTCTTCACTCTTACTTCACTGTGCCACATTACACTTCCTCCCCACAATATCCTCTAGACCTTTCCACAAACCACAAAGGCTTTTATTTGGGCATACCACGCACTGCTCTGCCAGCCTACTGGATATGCCTGTTTGGTTTTCTCGTACTTGCCTATGGCTGGGAGGGCCGTCTTCCCCACATCCTGGGAATGCTTTGCTGGCAGAGGCCTGCGGTGGCACCTGCCCCTAGAAGCAGCAGCCTCCCACCTAACCTCACTGATCAAGTTGCGCTGACATCTCAAAACAAGGGAAATAGCAAGTTAAACTCCAGCCCCACAAGGCCTCTCTCCCCACACCTCCTGCCACGAGCTGCCCATAGCCGCTCACTATTTTCCTTTCATGACAGATGTGCCTGCTGCCATTGTGCGTGTGCCAACTCCAGCACCCAGGCGGGGGTGGCAACTGAGAGCAGGAATCAAGGCATCAGCTCATCAGAAAAACAACAGCCACAAGAGCAATAAGTCAAAAGGCGAATTCCCTCTTTACTTTCCTTCTTTTTCTCTGGCTCTTTGTCTTCCTTGCCTCAAATCTAAAATTTACCTGAAAATCAGCTCTTATTCCCTTTCCCTGTGTTCCAAATAAGATGGGTATAAGCTTATTTGCCTTATATGTTTGTTTTTGTGTTGCCTTTAATTGAAACTTAAATTTGAGTGATTTCTATCACATATACAAGTACTAGTGATTATTAATCCAAGTGAGCTAAGAATTCCTTCACTAAAACATAATAGCAGCTAATATTTACAAGTTCCAGGACTGCTATAAATGCTTTAATGTACTTACTAACTTATTTAATCCTTGCAACAACCTTAAAGGAAAGTACAATTATTATTAGAATGTTACAGATGAATGTTTCCAAGGCCACATTGGTCTTAAACCTAGGTTCCAAAAGATTGTTTTAAATCATTATACCCTTCTGCCTCCCAAGCCTCTTTTCTCTAATTCTACACACACATCCAACAGGCTTGGTTATCTAGTCTTCCTAGACATAACAGATTAAAGATCAAATTAAAAGCAGGGTGAGCAAAGCCCTCCCAAGTAACAACTTCCTACTAATACAGAAAATGTGGCCTTACAGACCACATGAGCCATTTGCTCTGGGACCAGAGAGCTCTGCTGAGTCTCAGTGGATCTTACTCTATCACCACCATACAATATAAGGGCTAATATTCTAAACAGAATATGGAATCATAGGAAAGTAACTTTATACTTTTTAGAGGTACCTCTAAGTACACATTTCATTTCAAAATAAATGTATCCCAAAATACTTAAAATGTAAGCGGCAGTCCTAAACACTCAACTTTTTAGAATGACACATTTATCATGGGTTCCAAATAGCTGATATTTTATGGGTTTTTTTTTTTTTTTATATATAATGTGTTCTCTGTTCTCTTCAATTTCCCATTGCTATTTATGATTCAGTTTCTATATACTGACTCAGGATAGAATCTGTCAAACACACTGATGCTATATAGATGTATAGTCGTGGACACATAGCATTGAAGATGCTCCCTGGACCTGCAGAATTTTCCTTTCATGCCATTATGAACGGTCAGAGAAATACAAGGGTGTCCCTTACCGTTCCCCTGTATATCCTGGACTGCAATGACATTGGCCTGTGGCAGCATCACACGTCCCTCCATTATGGCACTGACATTCTTGGGAACAGTTCTTTCCAAAGCGACCCTCGGGGCAAGGCTGGCCGCACACTGTGCCCTGCATTCAAAGAGACTTGGAAAATTAGATGGGCCTCCAGCCAGGGAGGGACTGGAGGAAAAGAGGAAACAGAAAGGGAAGGAGGATATGGGAACAGGGCTGCAAGAAAATTAGATTAAGGGAATTTTTTTTATTTTATTTTTTTTTTTTTTGAGACAGAGTCTCGCTTTGTTGTCCAGGCTAGAGTGAGTGCCGTGGCGTCAGCCTAGCTCACAGCAACCTCAAACTCCTGGGCTTGAGTGATCCTTCTGCCTCAGCCTCCCGAGTAGCTGGGACTACAGGCATGAGGCACCATGCCCGGCTAATTTTTTTATATATATATCAGTTGGCCAATTAATTTCTTTCTATTTATAGTAGAGACGGGGTCTCGCTCTTGCTCAGGCTGGTTTTGAACTCCTGACCTTGAGCAATCCGCCCGCCTCGGCCTCCCAAGAGCTAGGATTACAGGCGTGAGCCACAGCGCCCGGCCTAGATTAAGGGAATTTTAGAACTGTTTGTAATCTTTAAAAATGTTAGAAATTTTAAATTGACTTATTTACCGGGTAAGCCCAAATATGGCAGACTGATAATCTTAGGAAAAATCCATATTAAAAACTGAAGTTTAAGATAAAGCTGCATCAAATTATTATGGCAACCTAAGAATTTATAAATCCTCCAAGTGTTCTTCCTTGTGTCTTACATGCACAATAAGTCAACAATACTTACTGAGCATGGTTACATAAATGGCAACATCTGGTGCACATGTAATATCCAAATGCTTTACCATATGTTCTAGAGAAAATACGTATTATCGTTGGCATTATTTCTTAAAATGTAGCATAACATAAGATTGAAATTTTGTGTACCTAAGTTAACAATTACATTGCCTAAGAGATACTTCTACTGGAATTAACCTAGACATTTATTTCAGAAGAAAAACACTTTATTTTCAACAGATTCAACAAGCATTGCTGAGCCAAGATCAATAGGAAAGCTTATTTCCTGGGGAGAAAAATCAAGAGAGCAACTTGGACATTTCCCCTCACCCTGGAGGCTGTCAGTCTTGTCAAGCACAGTCGTTATATTCACTCGTTGCCTATGTGGAAGAATGAGGTGCTGCAGTGATAAGCCAATGAAACACTCTACTCTTTTCTACTTCACTTGGCTTCACAGCTTCTCACCTACTTATTGGAGTTATAATTAGACAAACAACATAGCCCCCAAACAGGTAGTTTGCTAATGTTTTTAACTGTTGAAAGCTGTTGCTTTATCCTCCTTCTCTCTAAAAAAAAAAGGCAGACTGTGGGCACTCTGAAATTGGAGGCTAGCGAACACCAGATGGCTTCGTAAATGTTTATTCTGGACAGCGTAAGAATTTCCTCTAACTCCTGGCTATCCACAAAGGCAGTTGGTGTGCTAATGAAGTCTCCTCTGGTGGTTTCTAGCTATCTACAAACAGGGAAATTTCTTCCACAGACTCTGGGAACCCGAAGGGCCTCTGAGAGAGGATTCAAATCAGCACTTAACTGAGAGTCGTCTGTGTGCCGGGCATCGAGCTAAGCACTGAGAATCAAAGATAAGGACACAAACTTTAATTAGTTTACAGTGCGGTGGAGGGACAGATGTAAAACTAGCTCTAGTCTGTCCATTCCAGCACAACACACTACCCTTGGTGTGATGAGAAAAGGTGACTGCAGGAATAGTGATTAACGTGCGAGGGTCTGTCTGTAGCAAGCAAGGGCTCTGAGGAAAATTGTCACTCTCTCAGGGCCTGCCTCTAACTACCCACAATGGTCCCACATAAGTTTCAGAAATGCTGTCGAAATGTTTTTATGCGTAAAGATCAATGTGAGCAAACAGCTTTAAAGAGGACATTATTTCTCTTAGTTTAAATTCATATGTGTGTGTATGTGCACGAGGAATACATGTTCATCTCTGAAAAGCACCTAGGACGAGAGCACACAGAACACACTGTAAAGGAAAAGTGTAAGTTGGAAGGTCGGCTACACAGAGAAAAAAGAGTGACCTGAAGCACTGTCAGGGTAAGGGGCCCTGAGCGGAGAGAGAGTGGAAGGGGAAGCTCCACTGGCCTCTAGAAAGGATCCATCTGTCCACCTGTGGGACTTGTAGTCCCAGCCTGTGGTTGCCACTGTGCCACAGCATGGCCACCTCAACTGAGAGAAGCTTCAACCTCAGAGCTGAAGGAGGCCACTCCACAGAAAATATCTACACAAAAGTCCTCAGAGTAGAACACCTGTTGCATTTCCTCACCCACAGAGCACAGGGCTCCCTGGACACTCTGCCGTTCCAGAAAAATCCTTCCCTTGCCAAGGACCAACGTTGACAAAGGTCAAGTACAGGAAATGAAGGAAGAGAAGCAAGGATAAGCCAGAATTTTTACCATGGGCAACTAAGAGAGAAGTGTTAGTTTTAACTAAGATAAAAACGGTAGAAGAGGAGTAGCCTTAAGAAAGTCTTGGACATACAAGTTTGGTTTTATTAACATTGACTTTTCTAGGCATGCTTGAATTTGCTCAGTACTCCTTAAATAGCTTCTCCATCTGCCTCACCCTCGGGCACTCAGCTACACACCCCTCTCTCTCCAGTTCTACTGCCTCATGGAGTTTCTCCATGCTTTGTCTCGAGAGTTTTTGATCCTCAAGAATTTCTGCCTCATCATTTTTGACCCTCGCCTTGGGTCTGACACTTGTACTCCTGCCCCAGTGGTCTTGACATCTTGAACTCTCCGTTACTGCCTAGACTCCAGTTCTCCTCTGTGTTGGATCCACAATAAAGGGCAATGCCAGACCAATTCCATGCCCAGATCTGGCTGCGGAGACTATAGCTTGGACACCGCCCAAACAGATGGTGGCCTCGTGTGTGATAAACACACACCTGGGCTCAAGGCAGGTAAGAGGAAGATTTGGGAATATCAGCAGGTGATTCTTAAAGCTATGGGCCTGTGTGAGGTTTCCAGAGAGGCTTTATAGTGAGAAAAGAGAAGGACAAGGCTCAAACCTAGGAAATACTGTAACAAAGGGTTATGTAAGAAGAGTGGGGTCTTGGAAAAGAGATCTTTAGTACAAGTAGTCAGAGAGAGGGTGATGAAAGAAGAAGAGGGCAAAGAAATTTAGGAAGGGAGGCTGGTGATCAACAGTCAAAAGCTCTGGAGAAGAGAAGCAGAAAGAGAACAAAGAGTCTTGGCAAATACGAAGTCACTTGTAACATCTGATAGAACCGTTTCAGTATTGTTCATGGAGACAGTGATGTGAAGGAAACTGCTCTGTTAAGTAGTTTGTTGATAAAGTAAACAGCCATTGGTCCTTTGCTTTTTTGTCCACAAGCAGATATATGCACAAACCAACTCTGAAAGATAACAACAATATTATTTCCTGATTTTAGATAAGTCTAATTAGTAAACTAATTGGCAGTGTGAATTCCACTTGATACTAAGACTGTGAAATTACTACCTGAAGAAAGGGTGTCCTGGTCAAAGTTTGGGAAGCATGGTGAGGTATAGCTTCCTCGCAGAAGCTCTGAAAAGTTCTGAAATACTTGATAAAATTGGTTTATCTCAATGTATTTCCAGATTTATAAGACTGGATGACTTTTTCCACATAACACTTATATTGTTGAGAATAACGTTGCCATAGAACAATAGCAATTCATGGAAGATAATTATGAAAATGATCGTTGGATAATTCCAGTGTTTATCAGCTAGATACTTGCCTCTCTTTTATCCTGAGGGAAAAATGCAGGACAGATAGCCACTATCTTTTCCACGAGGACCTTTAATACACTCCAAGTTCAGGATGAAATCAACGTCTGCCTTCTCTAGACTAACGAATTTCAGCTTTAAAATGGCTGGGTATTTCCAATTTTGCAATTGTTAACCATCTTTGTAACTTTGCTTGTGCTGAAGGCCTCCACAAGTGTATTCACTTGAGTATCCGGAATAAATGGCTTTGGGGGTGGAGGTGGGGAAGCTTACCATCCAGCCACTAGGGCAGGAGCACTCTCCAGTGACGTGATGACACACTCCTCCGTTTTGGCAAGGGCATCTCTGCTCGCAATGTGGGCCGTGTTTGCCAGGGGGACAAAGATCCTCACAGCTGAGGGTTAACGTGTGACAAAGGACATTGTTATTTCCCAGCCACATGGCTCAGGTTCACAGGCACAGCAGCACCCAGGGCCCTAAAATACACACACTTTCTCTGTTCAGTAACTGTTCACTTAATTTTTTAACATCAAGAGCAATAAACATATTGCCTGGAAGTATCTTTGTGGGGGTCACCCAGTCCTTCCCTTGTCTGGGGATACTTTCTATAAAAAACCATTTCAGATTGAGGAGAATCTATCCTACATGACAACACCAAGGAAGAAAATGGCCACTCATTGGTGACAGGAACTTTCCATGTAACTGTAATAAAGCCCTGTGCTGCAGTTTAAGTCTATTGTTGTTTGTGTGTTTGTTCTAATCCCAGAGGAAAATGAAACATGGACGCCCCACCCCCTTTGTACACATTTTCTTCATAATCGATTGTCCACGTTGTCCCGTCCAGACTGACAAGTCTCCACTCCCTCCCCCCGGCCCCATATCCACATGGACCTTCTTCTCTCAGCCTTTGTCTTTTTTGCTCTCCTGTGAAGTCACTCCAAGTTTCCCACAGCCCTGTTCCATTGTGGCCTTGATGAAAACCCACAAAAGCAATATTAACAATTAAACAGTTGCGATGATTATCCATTCCTCTGAAAATCAGGGCTTTCTAGGCTAATGCAATTTTTTCCTTTAGCTCTACTTTATAGACATTAACACTGTCAGCAGGAAGTATTTATCTAATCACCAGCTTTTTTTCCCCAAAATTTTAATTATGTGATTTATAAGTGTAATTTTCTCTGTAAGGGAACAAGATTTTTCTTTCTCTTATTCTGTTTGCTAATAGAAACAAATTGAAGAATGCCCTTACCACAAAATAAAGAAAATAGCAGAGGTTAAGTAGTTGCTTCTATGTCCTTCAGAAAGAATTAAACTATCTGTGTGCTGACATTCTCCACAGATGTGACACACATACCTGCATATTCACAAAGCAACATAGGTACCCACGGGCATTAAGCAACTCAGTTAATCCTCTATTGTGGACTCTCTGTAACTTCTTCCTCCTTTCCCTTTCCTAAGGCGCTGAATCCACCCAGCTTTCTCCAGCCACAAGAGCAGAATGACATCGACCATTAACAGCCAGCAGTATAAGAATGAATGAAATCATGGAAGATTTAAAGCAGAACCTCATATCTGACCCAGGAACCCCAAAATATTGCCATCCAACATCTTGATTCTCCCTCTGTTTGCCCTGCAAGGAAAACACGGAAGCTGGGCTCTGATGCCCAAGTACCAAACAGCAGCAGACCTAATGGCCATCACTGCTGACCTCCCCGTCTATGCTCGCAGTTCAGACCCATCAGCAACTCTCCGGGCAGCTTTGGAAACAGGGGCACGAGGAATATGACAGCGGCAACAGCATGAATGGCGCAGGTGGGCTCTGCTACACTGCTGGGCAGCAGTCACTTACAAGGCTCCGGTGTATCCTGGCGGGCAGCGGCATTCCCCTGTGACGTGGTCGCAGGTGGCTCCATTCTGGCACTGGCATTTCTGGTGACAGTCATTACCATAGGTGCCCTGCTCACAGCGTTCCTCGCAGCGCCAGCCCCGGAAGCCTGCAGCACAGTGGCAAGCCCCGGTGATGGGGTTGCACAGAGCCCCGTTTTTGCACTGGCACCGGCTGCTGCAGTGGGGCCCCCAGTGATCGCCGTCACAGGCTGAGATTGGGGACAGAAACAGCACAGGGCATCAGAGTCTGATATGAGTAATGGCAAGCTCTTCACAGCGAGCTTTCCTTGCCCCTTGGAGAGGATGGCTTGACAACCCCTCTTCTCCATTCAATAACTGGGCATCAGGGCTCCGGCGCCGACCCATGGCTATGTTTCACCAACTGGTGCTCAGAACCAGCTGGGCCACTTCCTATCACTCCATTGCTTAAGCATCACTTCATTTCCCAGCTCCATGCCTTTGCTCAGCCTGCTCCCTGCACCTGGAGTGTGGGGTTAGATGCGGCTAGGAGGGGCGAGTAGTGCTGGGGGAGAGGATGCTGGCCAGGCAGATGGAATGATCAATGCAGGGACTCCTAAGCATGTTAAGGAGTCTGGATTGCATCTTGTGGACAAGGGATTAGTAGTGATGGATTTTAAACAAGGAAGGACAGTGCAGATTTGTGTCCTACTAAGTGTGAGGAAAGGGCAAGAAGGAGCTGACGAGAGTTGAGAGATGGAGCAGGAAGACAGCAATAGCCCAGACCACAGAGCCGGCCTGAGCCCAGGCAGAGGCAGTGGGAAGGAGGAGGGGACCCGGAGCGGGGGCAGAGCTACTAGATGGTGGACTGACCCTGCTGTAGGTGTGGGCCAGAGTACTCTACGAGGAAAACTTCTGATCTGCTTTCAAGTTATCAGTCAAAATATTTATGACTGGGAGGTAATCTCAATTACCTACCAAAACAAGGCAGAAAAAAGAAATGGACTAATATGTTTAAATATGCTGACCTAGTTAAAAAATAAGACAAACTTGAAATAGAAAATGGATATTAAATAAAAAGATAATAGGCACATGAAACCAGCTAACAGAAAGGAAGAAAATAACATTTGAAAAATATAAAGTGCAGTTCCAAAGAAAAGAAAGAGTGGCCTCAATACAAAAGTCAATGAGCAGGAAAGGAATTGGGGAAGGGGAAAAAAAACCTTAATCCCAAACATTTTAAAAAATTATAGAGGGTGAAGATAAACAAAACCTACTCTCAGGAGGTATTGCCCAGCCAGCAGTGTATTTATTTATTAATTAGATGCTATAAAAATCACTAGGGAAGATGCACCGTCCTAGAGTTCTTAGGATAAATTGCTTCTATGATTTAAAACAAAAGTTTCATTTCATAAAAATTGTGTAACGCCAACAGATCTGGAATACATCATTGTAAAAAACAAAAAAACTCTAGGTGCACAGCAAACAACTCATTAGAAGTACAGAATCCATCTTCCAATATTAGAATCTACCTTTGATTTCATAATATCAAAAGGTTTAAATGAATAATTTTGTTTTTAATCAGTATGGCTTTGGTCTCATTAGTACTTTAATAAACACTTTAACACAATTAAAAACAATGAGAGAGAATTATTGAACCAAAAGCAGATCAAGAAAGCAATTACCTTAGAACTCACAATCTTCCTTCACAAAATAAGATTAGGTGGTAGTTCCATAATAAGATTTAAGCCTCATTCTTATTCAGATGAGTTTTTATTTTATTGCTTATAGATGTGGACAATGAATCTTTTTAAAATTATAACTCTGTTAATCCAGGACCTTAAAAGAAAAAATTCTTTGAAAAGATTACATGGAATATTCCTTTTGGTCCTCTCAGCTACTTCAGGTAGAGAAGACTCTATCCTGTTTTTAACGTCCTCCAAAGTAAATTACACAGTCCTTCCAAACTTGTTTCTTGACTCATCAATCCTTAAGAGTAAGAAAAATCTTCATTCCACATGAGCCAAATCTGTTATCCTACCATTTAATCCTTCTTTCTCCTGCCTTTTTCACAATATAGTCAACCCAATTCATCACTATCCTCTATATTACAAATAGTCTTATTCCCGAAATGTGAACGTGGCCTTGATCCTGCTCCTTTCTAAATACTAAAACTCTGAAACTTTTACTTATTTTCAAAAAGTGTTTTCAATTTCATTCATCTTTTTGGAGAACCCTCTCCAAAGTTTCCATGTCCCTCTCAACTTCTGGGAGCCTTAAATATTGAAAAATGCTTGTTGACTCCTTATGAACATAATGGAGGATAAGTTGACTGACACAAAAGGAATTTTAGCTAATAAAATTGTCTTGATAAAAACATCAAGATCATGTCAAAAGCATTTTTAAAAATCGCAGTGGGTTACTGTAGAGTTTTTCCCACTGTGACTGTGGTAAGAGTGGCCCCAAGCACGTATGCTTTACAAAGCATGTTTTCTAACAGAGCAGTGGGAAGAAGAGAGGCACTGAGGGACAGGACTGGTCTCTCCTTCTTCACAGCCTTGTTTTCAACTTCTCTCCCAGCAGAGCAGTCAGGCAGAGACCAGCTCTGTTTCCTTGGGATTAGACAAAAATAAAATATATATCATCATGATAGAAATGAGTTCATGTAGAAATAGATAACTGTCAGCGTAGAAAAAAAGGATTTGAGGCTTTTAAAGAAATATTATCATGCTGACATGGTTAATTTCTAAGCACTATGGCATACTTTGAAGTGGGCTTCCCCATTTTAGAATATATTTTCCTAAAAAGCCACTGATACATGGATGTCACAGTGTGAATATTATGCAGCAACATGAGCTATTCTGGAAAAAAAAAAAAAAGTCCACATACAGAAGTTTACAAACAAATAGGTAGTAGAGCAAGCAGGACACAGAGGCCTGGGTTGAATTCAGGCATCACTGTGACTTCCTCTCCTTTCTTCATTTGCCATATATACCTCAATGTGTCCATTTTAAAATGTGTCAGTGAGTCACACAGTCTATAGCACATAAGCCAGCTTCTGCTCCTGATTACTGCAAGTATGAGGAAATGGTGACTTTGTCTAAACAAGAGGCAGAATTCATTCCTTGTGTTTAGTGCAGAACTTGACCAATTATCCTGAATACAAGTACCATGTTTGGAGAGACAATTTGAAGAGTCTGAACTCAAACCATCTGACATTTTTTACTTAACTCCTCACTCTAATTTCATGGACAAGAGTTTCACTCCACAGGAGAAAGTGATTGATTGGTTACTTCCATTAACAACTAGAAAAAATGTAGTTAACATGAAAATAGCTTGAGTGTCCTAATAGGAAGAAAAAGAGGTAAACGGACAAAATTTTTATTTCAGACAAAAATGAAAGTAACCTAACCACTAGTGAGCAAGTGATGACTCATTTTCAGCTTCTGGAAATGTTTCAAGGGACGGTTTAATGAGAATCTCAGACATACACAGACAGCTTGCTCTGATAAGCTCTCATAATGAGTTGAAAATAAGAGAAATCTTAAACTACTATGCACTATCGGATGTATCCATGCTCCAACCTCTAGTGAAAACTAGTAGAGCATTGGATCCTCCCAAGACAATGGACTCAAGACTGGAACCCTTACTGCTATAACTTGCAAAGACCCCAGTAACCACAGGTTACATTCATGGGCATGAAGCTCAGACCTTCTGTCTCTGGAGTCTGTTCTCTAAACCACTATATTTTACTCCCTCCAAAGCTATAAGGATGTTTATCCTAGCATTGATTATAATAAGAAATAATTAAAAACAACCTAATTTGTGGTGAGGGGACTGGTGAAAAAAATTGGGTATAATCATATAATAAAATATATGCATCAGTTAAAATGATTTTATAGAAGAATATTTTATGAGCTGGAAAGATGTTTACAATATCATAATTGTTAAAAGTATATTAAAAAACAGTATGCATCATATGATCCAATTTTAGCACTATATTAGAATGAACCAGATGAAACTGTCCTAAGTTTAGGTTTAAAAATGGCCAAATATGAGCAATTACATATGGTTAAACCTAATATCTGGAGGGAAAAGAAAAACGGAGAGAATGAGAATGACAGAGACAGAGGAAAACCAAAAGGCTCTACAGAGAAATGGCACCACTAGCTCTAGGTCTTGGGGTTACATAGGAATTTTCTTTTATTCAATTGGTTTAACTTGATTTTCTAAATTTTCTACAATAAACACATATCCTTTTGGCAGTAAGAGAAAAGTAAGCAATATGTTTCGTGGGTTATTTTAATGGTCCTACCTTCAGAGCATTTTTATTGTGCCAGGTTCTGCACTCCATGTTGGACACACCTCTTACTAGCTCTCATGACTATTATGACAAGGTGGGTATCATTACCACATTTAACATACATAAAATATACTAAATTAGAACATTTAGGTAAAATGCCCAAAACCCAAAAACTAGTCCGTGGTAGGATCAGCATCAAACCTAAGACTTTCTGCACACAAAAGTCCAAGTACTTTACATGGGCCATTCTGTTCCTGAAGTACTGAAATTCTATATTTTAGTTAAACATAATATCCCACAATTATATTTTTCATCAAACATAAAGCCAGTACTCTTTCTAAGGCAGAGCAACATATGGTAACAATTCACTGAGCAAGGCTTTGGGGTCAGTCAATGACTCAATGTTTAGGGGCACTGAGAATAAGAAATTACATCAGTAGTGAGAAGATAAAACATTTCTCAAAGAAAATATAAAATTAAAGAGATGGTCAGATTTGAAGAGTTTCTATAAGTTGATAATGATTCTATGCCAATACTTTATCTATGAAACAGTATTGATGTCTCTAGCTTTAGAAATACACTAACCTACCTCAAACCCTCATCCTAGTTTTCCATGCAAGGGCGATGAGGTGGGGGAGAAAGTGTTCTAGGATATATTAAGTTCCTAATGTGTACCAGGCATTATTACATTATGAGGGACATCATGGAGCTGTTTCATTTAAATCTTGCAATAACTCAATGAGTTAGGTACAATTTTTTTATTATTTTTAGTAGACATGGGGTCTCACTCTTGCTCAGGCTGGTCTCGAACTCCTGAGCTCAAGCAATCCTCCCAGCTTGGCCTCCCAGAGTGCTAGGATTTTGGTGTGAGCCACCACACCCAGCCGAGTTAAGTATAATTGTTCCAATATTTCCAAGTGCAAAATGGACTCAGGTGGTAATTTGTTC